AATCTGATTTCCATGAGACAATTGGATGAGGTATGTTACTCGACAGTTCTTTAAACTAAGTCGTGGAAGGTAACTCAATGATCCATTCTGGTGGCCCAAGGGAGAAGAGATGGAACTCTTTACATAACGAAAACTATGCAATACGGAATCAGTTCCGTGCCCATAAATAATGACACAAATTTATGGTATTCTCGTCTCGGACACATGAGTGAGAAGGGGATAGGGAAGCTCATGTCAAAGGAAAGATTGTTAGGTCTTAAGTCCTTCGATATTGGAGTATGCGAGGACTGTATCTTTGGGAAGCAACGAAAGGTGGCGTTCTCAAAGGGTGGAGAGAGACCTGGAAAAGGAAAAGTTGGAGTTGGTTCATACGGACTTGCGGGAACCAGCTTTTGTATTGACCCTTGGAGGCTCACAGTACTACCCCGTGGTCATTGACGACGTTACAAGGGAGGTATAGATATATTTCCTTAAGTGTAATTATGATGCTTTTGATACCTTTACGAGGTGGAAAGCACGTGCAGTGGGAGTAGTGAACCGATTTATGAGCAATCCTAAAAGACAATCTAAGGTGGTGACCTTAGATGAATTGAGGTTGTATTCAACCTCAATGGGCCTCGATGAGTGAAGGAGACTTGGCGTCGTCATTTCCGATGAAGTAAAATGTTGAAGTGGAAGATGAAATCAGTCTTCAATTGGGAGATTGTTGAGATATGAAGCCTGATTATATCATAAAATTTAGGGATATGATTTAGATATGATTTGGATATAATATCCGAGATTTATAGATATGAGTTGGATATTATTATCATAGGCATAGACTATAAATATTCATGTATTCTCACTTTAACATGTGTCTGCGTACTTTATAGTAAAATTTCTGGCTTGGCAGCACCCCATAGACGTAAATCATCGTGATCGAACTGAATTACCAAATTCTTGTGTTTTTTTATCTTTATTATTCCATCTTGATTTCCTGGGAATTTAAATGACATTTATATTATTAAGACAAAACTATAACTAAAATCAATTGTTCAATCATTGCATAAAATTATATGTATTTTGTGGAATAATAAAATCATGAAATAAAAGTTCAACATGTACACATGATTTGCAAATAAAAGTATAGCTTTGTACAACAAGGAATAAACTTCCGTATCTGTTATATATATATATATACTAACTAAATTCAAAAAATACTTACTCCCTCTCTCTCTCTGTTTTTTTATTTTAGTTCGTCCCATAGCAAAGTATCATTTTTTTTAGTAATTGTATTATCTATCTAACATTACAAATAACTTTACAAATTACAATATATTACAAAAATGTCATTACGTTTATATAACATAATACTAATAAAGTTATTTTAGTAATTTCAACTTTATTCATGTTAAATCTTAATATAATATTAATATTTCTAAAATTTGGTGCAAAAAATTGAACAGATACCTAGTTATTGGACAAAGGGAGTATAACTATTGTTATTCATTTAATATTTAGTTATAACAAAGATTAGTATTTTTACATTTTTTCTAATTTTTTTACATTCAATTGTTTCCCCTAAAAATATCAAATCAAACATCTATTTTTTATTTTTTTATATTATACTAAAAATCAATTTTACATTCAAAACATCACATCAATACCTATTTATATCACATTATACAACTATTCAAATTCAAAATTTTTACTATTCAAATCCCAACTCAAAATCTAAACTCCCAAACAAACGCAAATGTTTCTCAAAGATATATTTGTTTCAATTATTCACTTAAATTATTTTTTATGCCGAACCTAATAGATTATATTTTAGGGACGTAAGGAAGGAGTATCATTTAATATAATATTTTAGTAAAAGTTAATATATTTTTATTTGAAGTATAAAGGGTCTGTTTCTCCAGTTTGGGGAAAACAATATGCAAATATTGCATAGTGTTTTCCCCCAAACTAGGTCGGTTTTCCGAAGAAGACATTTGCTGCAAATGACAGCAAAAGCTGCATTTCTTTCTTTTTTTCTTTTTAATATATTTTTTGTTTCAAATATTATATCTATTTAACATTTATAATAATTATAGTGTAAAAAAATATATACAATATATATGTCATTTTGTAGATAATAAAAATTTGTATAATACGAATAAATAAAAATTTAAATATATATGTTTGGTATAATATAAATTCATAATTAAATCATACAATATAAATTTTATCAATTAAATTTAATACACATTTATATTATTTTATTCATTATAGTTTGTTTGGTTGTGGTTTGAAATTGATTTGTAAGGAAGTGTTTATTTTAAATTTTTGTTTAAAAGTATTTGACGTGATATTTTGTGAGAGACAATAATATATTTTTATTGAATACCGTATTTGCCCCAAATTTCTTTGAAGTCACACAACAGCAAGAACAAGTTCCTTTGATGATCGGACTACGAGTGCATATACCGGTGATGACAAGAACGAAAAATACAAATACAATTTTGATAACCCAGTTCGGCTCTAACTAGCCTATATTTGGGGGTTCTAACCAGACGAAATTCAATATCGAATCCATTGAAACACAAGGTGTTGGATATGGGTCCAAAAACACCTGAACGAAAAAGAGGCTCGAAGACAAAAGTGGTGCCAGAGCTCATTGGCCACGGAGCCGCTCAACAACAATGGAGTTTCAAGCCTCGAAGCCAAAGACTGTTGTCTCCACATAGCCGAATGCAACAGTTTCCATTGGATTGCGGTGCTTCCACAGGGCCGAAAGCAGCAGCCTCCGTGGACCTTAGAGCAGCAACTTCTTGGACTATGGCGACTTCATCCCGGACAATGTTTCCATAAGGTCAGAAAGTGCTGTCTCCATTGGGTTGAAAACAACTACCTCCATTGGACTACGGTGCTTCCACAAAGCAGAAGAAGGTTGTCTCCACAAGATAGAAAACAACAGCTTCCACAGATCATGAGATAATTACCTCCGTTGGCCCTGGATTAATAATTTCATACTTAACATTAGTGGAGGGCCTATGCACTCTCATACTTTATTCAAAAAAGCTCCATGGAACAAGCCAACAAGAGGAAAACCGAAGATTCCATCTAACCCGAGGCTGTTGGGGATACATCCCCGTGGACTGGCTAGGAGTACGATGGAAAGAAGTCGGAGTAAGCAGCAGATCTGGTCCAGAGGCAATGGAAGAAGTTCAGAGCAAGTGGAACCTGGTCCAAAGGCAATGGAAGCGATTGGGAGCTGATGGAATGAGGTTACCGGGTGGTTATTAGGAGCTTATGGAAGAAGGTTACCAGGGAGCTGATGGAAGGAGGTTACCAAATGGTTAGGAGGTAGTGGAAGGAGGTTACAAGAAAGTTGGAGGTAGTAGTGGGAGGTTACCAGGCGGTTGAGAGTGGTAGATGAATAATTGTAACTGCCCCTTTTAGTGGGAGATGTGGTTATTCTAGCTTATGATTAAAACTAGGAAAAAACACATTAAACACACGCACAAGAAGATCAACTCGTATTTTTCTTTATTTTTTTTTTCATGTTCTAGTTTCGTTTTTAGCCATTTTAATTCAAATTACATGTTTTCTATCCGCTTTCCAGTAGATTTATCCGAGTTTTATTAGATGTTAATTTAAATCCATCGAAATCGATCGTTTAGGCTCGAAGCCATACAGCCTCCATCGAAGGAGCCGCCCAAAATTCGATGATGAACAGGCTCTTTGGAGTACTTCCGGAACCCACACGGGCAAATCGAAGAACATTTTTGGAACCTCCGAATTTTAGGATCCAACACAAGGATATTTGGATACAATTGAATTACACATATAAAGAAATCAAGACATTCATTTCTTGTTTGTTTCCGCCAACCCAAAATGTTCAATAATCTCGTTTTTTTCTCCAGCGACAAACTATAATGTTCAACACCATTATTGTATTTTCTCACTCATATAAATACTCCCTCCGTCCATACATAAAGTATACAATTACTTTTAGCACGGTGTTTAATAAATAATAGTATTTTAATTATAGTGGGTAGTTAAAAGTAGTGTAACGACATTTTTGCCCTTACTTTTTGGTGTAAAAGTAATGATGTGATGTAAAGTAGGAGTATTTGTAGAAAAAAAGTGAGTTATTTAATCAAATATTTACTTTGTAATTGGATGTCCCAAAATAGAAATATATATACTTTTTAGCTGGATGGAGGAAGTAATCATTTAACAAATTCCATCAAGAATGAATCTTTTTGCTCCACTATCTTTCCCCACCTACACTAATTTTGTTACAATTGAATTTTGTTATTCTATCACATGGGGAGCAACAACTCTATCAATTTCGATGACTTCTTCTTGTGTCTTTATTGGCTTAATCGATTTTAGGTCATCTTCTTGTTTGATTAGGCTCAAGACAAATTGAGTTGCGTCTATCATCAATATTCGTTCGTTGATTGAATATTTGCATACAACATCAACCAAAATAAAAAAAATCCAAATACAATTTATTTTCAACATACTGTATAAGTGAATAATTTAATTTTGATTTGAAACGATAAAAAAAAAAAAAAACACTTAGACTATTTCCAACTCAATTCGCAAAAGTAGTAATAGTTTTGCTATTTTTACATGGTAAGTTACTTAATCCACCCTTTAATTTTACTATTTAGTGTTATTTATAAATTTAAAATACTATAAAAAGTAATATATTGTAAAATAAAAATATATAATTTAACTCCTGCAAAAATAGGATTATAATTAGAAATAATCTTACTATGTAAAAAGAATAAAATAAATAAATAAATAAATTGAACAATACTTTATTCTTTTAATTTTAATTTTAATTTTAATGTAAGTATTACATACAACGAGACCGGTCCAGAAAAACAGAGCAAACCGGCCTTACAAACTGCGCCACGTGTTCAACGGTAATTTAGTTAAACAGCAGGGGCAACCATGTAATTATGTAAAACTATATATAAGAGTCGCCACGGCACCAGAAATATCTGCCCTTTCTTTTTGTGAAGAAAAATGCGAAGGAAAGAGGGTAAAGAGGACAGAAATGATCCATGATTATTACATTGACTAATCGAGGTTCCGCCACCATTATCCTCGCGATTGTGCTCTCTTCTTCTTCTTCTCTATAACTTGATTGATTGCTCCTCCGACTTCAATAATGTAAGTCTTCGATTCGTCTCTTTCTCCTCCGTTTTGTGGTTTTTGCGTTTTTTTTGTTTTTGTTTTTTTTGTGTGGCTGATTTCTTATACGAATGAATGAATGATTGATTGATTGGTTGTTGATGATGAAAAGTCAAAGTGGAATTGCTTCACCCTTTTGTTTTGATTATTGTTGTCGAGACAGGATGTGAATTATGATTGATGATTTAGGAAGGTTTTTTGATTTGGAGTCTTAGTAGGTTATTGTGCGGTTACTGATCCGAGGATGTACACTTTGATGCTTATACTTTGTTTTTGCTGCAGTGAGTACCTCTGAGAAATGGAGTATGGTATTTTTTCTTGAATCTTTGTTGAAGTTGTTCCTTTACGGAAATGATTGCATTCTAAATATATATGAAGATTGTATTCTATGGAAAAGATCTTGATTCGGCTGATCCGGTTAAGCCTTGGCAGGGAAACGATTAGCGGGTGCTGTTGAAATTGTATCATCGTTTCTGACAGTTCATTTTGTGGACATTTATTCGACTAAGCTGGCTCAGTATTTTCAATGGCTGATGCTCGTCCTGCGAAAGGAAATACTGGGAATGGCAAGACATCAGGAAGCGCCGCCAATTCTTACACAATTCATCTTGAAAACTTTAGCAGACGGTTAAAGATGTTGTACTCACATTGGAGTGAGTTCAAGAACGGTATGTGGGGTGGTTCTGAGGTTCTAGCGGTGGCAACCCCTCCCCCATCAGAGGATCTGAGGTACCTGAAGTCCTCGGCGCTGAATATATGGTTGTTTGGTTATGAGTTTCCAGACACAATTATGGTCTTCACGAAGAAAGAGATCCATTTTTTGTGTAGCCAGAAGAAGGTGAGATTACTCGAAGCTGTGAAAAAATCTGCAAAGGCTGCTGTGAAAGTGGACGTCATAATGCACACAAAGGCAAAAAGCGATGGCGGTGCTGCATTAATGGATGATATATTTGAAGCAATTCGTGCTGAATCACGGTTGAATGGCCACGGCATCCCTGTTTTTGGACACATTGCTAGAGAGGCACCTGAAGGGAATCTTCTGGAGCTATGGGATGAGAAGCTTAAGGATGCTAATTTTCAGCTAGTTGATGTGACTAGTGGTTTCGCAGACCTGTTTGCTGTAAAGGACACTAATGAAGTTATTAATGTGAAGAGAGCCGCCCATCTGACTTCCTCCGTGATGAAATATTTTGTGGTCCCAAAGTTGGAGAAGATTATTGATGAAGAAAAGAGGGTTACTCATTCTTCATTAATGGATGACACAGAAAAGGTTATACTCGAGCCGACAAGAATAAAGGTGGGGCTGAAAGCTGAGAATGTTGATATATGCTACCCACCAATTTTTCAGAGTGGTGGTGTATTTGATCTGAAACCAAGTGCATCAAGCAACGATGACAACTTGTTTTACGATTCTACGAGTGTGATAATATGTGCAATAGGATGTCGTTACAGAAGCTATTGCTCCAATGTAGCAAGGACTTTCTTAATTGATGCCAATTCAGTGCAGAGCAAGGCTTATGAAGTACTCCTAAAGGCCCATGATGCAGCAATTAAGGCATTGAGGTCAGGGAAAAAGTCGAGTGATGCATATCTAGCAGCAGTTTCTGTAGTTGAAGAGGAAGCGCCTGAATTGGCTCCCTACTTGACAAAATCTGCGGGAACAGGAATAGGCCTTGAATTTCGCGAGTCAGGTCTCAGTCTCAATGGTAAAAATGATAGGATCCTGAAACCTGGCATGATCTTCAATGTGTCTCTTGGGTTTCAGAATTTGCAAACTGAGACAAAGAATCCCAAAACCCAAAAGTTCTCTATTTTGCTTGCAGATACTGTTGTCATTAGTGAAAATGATCCAGAAGTGGTAACTTCTACCTGCTCTAAAGCCGTGAAGGATGTAGCATATTCATTCAATGAAGACGAAGAAGAAGAGCCGCCCAAGATCAAATCCATGCCTACTGTTACTGAGAAATATCCATCTAAGGCAACACTCAGATCAGTCAACCATGAGGTATCAAAGGAGGAGTTAAGGAGACAGCATCAAGCAGCACTGGCTCGTCGGAAGAATGAAGAAACTGCAAGGAGACTTGCTGGTCGTGGAACTGAAGGGGCAAATCATGGTCCTGTAAAACCTTCCGGAGAGCTGATTGCCTACAAGAATGTCAATGATTTACCTCCGCCAAGAGATTTCATGATTCAGGTTGACCAGAAGAACGAGGCCATCCTGTTACCAATTTATGGAAAGATGGTACCATTCCATATAGCTACCGTGAAGAGTGTCTCTAGCCAGCAGGATACCAGTCGCACATGTTATATCCGGATTATCTTTAATGTCCCCGGCGCTCCCTTTTCACAGAACGATCCAAACTTGCAGAAGTTTCATGATTCTATATACGTTAAAGAAGTTTCATTCCACTCCAAGGACCCAAGGCATATTAGTGAAGTGGTTCAGTTAATCAAGACCCTCCGCCGGCAGGTTGCTTCCCGGGAATCAGAAAAAGCTGAGAGAGCAACATTAGTTACACAAGAGAAACTCCAACTTGCTGGAGCAAAATTTAAACCCATTAGACTATCAGACTTGTGGATCCGTCCAGTCTTTGGTGGTCGTGGCAGAAAGCTTAGCGGTACCTTAGAAGCTCACACTAATGGTTTCCGCTATTCAACCTCAAGACCGGATGAGCGAGTTGATATTATGTTCGGAAATGTGAAACATGCATTCTTCCAGCCTGCAGAGAAGGAAATGATCACTCTTGTGCACTTCCACCTCCACAACCACATAATGGTGGGTAACAAGAAAACCAAGGATGTCCAATTTTATGTTGAAGTCATGGATGTGGTACAGACAATTGGAGGTGGAAAAAGATCAGCCTATGACCCTGATGAGATTGAGGAGGAGCAGCGCGAGCGCGATAGAAAGAACAAAATTAGCATGGATTTTCAGAACTTTGTGAACCGAGTCAACGATCTTTGGGGCCAACCTCAATTTAAAGGACTTGATTTGGAGTTTGATCAGCCATTGAGGGAGCTTGGCTTCCATGGGGTTCCACACAAATCATCTGCATTTATAGTCCCGACTTCTACTTGCCTTGTCGAGCTCATAGAAACACCCTTTGTGGTCATCACTCTCAGTGAGATTGAAATAGTTAATTTGGAGAGAGTTGGCCTTGGGCAGAAGAATTTTGACATGACTATTGTATTCAAGGACTTCAAGCGTGATGTGATGCGAATAGATTCAATCCCTACTTCATCACTTGATGGTATTAAGGAGTGGCTCGATACAACGGATCTCAAGTACTACGAGAGTAGGCTAAATCTTAACTGGCGCCAGATACTGAAGACAATAACCGATGATCCTGAGCAGTTCATAGAGGATGGTGGATGGGAGTTTTTGAACTTGGAGGCTAGTGATTCAGATTCTGAAAACTCTCAGGAATCAGATCAAGGATATGTACCTTCAGATGTCCAATCAGATTCTGTCTCGGAGGAGGAGGATGACGACAGTGAATCTCTGGTGGAGTCTGATGATGATGATAAAGATGATTCTGATGAAGATTCTGAGGAAGACGAAGGCAAAACCTGGGAAGAGCTGGAAAGGGAAGCTAGTAATGCGGATAGAGAAAAGGGCCACGAATCCGACAGTGAGGAAGACAGAAAGAGAAGGAAAATGAAGGCTTTTGGAAAATCACGACCACCGGAAAGAAGACCTGGCGGAGGTAGCCTTCCCAAGAAGGCAAGGTTTAGGTAAAACAATCAACAACGGCAATCACTGTTGGGACATTCTGCGAAAGGTAACTTTCTTGTTTCTGCCTCTCTATCACTGTGGTATGAAATATGATATGCATTATCTGCTGTGTTCTTGAGCTACTTGGAAAGTTTGTCTTATTAAGTTATGACACTGGTGATGTGATCCCTGTTTATTTTGAAATCTTGGTATTTTGACTACATCCATGTTTGCGACTCTGTTTATTAGTTTGTTCGCCGGCCGGTACTTTAATCTTGTAGATTACAATTAGCTCTGATCGGTCAACCAGTTTTAGAACATTTTAGCCTAAACAGAGGAGAGGAGGATAATATCCATGTACTTACCTAATAGGTTGTAAGAAGTTAACATTCTCAGTTAGTTGAACTCGTTGGACTGATCTTCGATGACATAGCACTTTTGAGGTTGACATAAACTCGACAAGACATTCTTTAGCATGTGAGGACTAGTATTCTTAAGATCAGATCGAAATAACTAGAACTATAATAGCTGGTAGCTAGATAAAAGAAAATGCAAAAGATTTGCTTCTATTTGCTTAATTTAATGTAGATATATATATATATATATATATAGATATATTTGGAAATTTGTTTGTATAATTAAATTGAATTATTGATACCAGTATTTGCTTTGTGCTATCTGAAGGTACTATATGTAGCAGCAGCAGATATATTTGTGTAACTTTTGAATCAAAACTGAATTGAATACTGGTTGTTACATATACCCTTATTTATTTTATGATATTATTTTGTTTTACTAGCTCCATCGGTTTATAAAGTTGGAATTGAATTGAATTCATTGCTGTTATGTAATATTGTTGTGTGCATTAGTGTATTTCTTTTTGGGTTTGTGCAATGTCTTAATGTAGTAATCTTTATCTAATTAAGTATAATGAACTTTGCCTGTTTAGGGATTGTTTGATTTTGGTTATTATTATTATTATTATTATTATTATTATTTTTATTACTATTGTTGTTGTTTATTTTATTTTATTTTATTTTTCAATGTGGCTACTATTATTGTCAGCAATGTTTTTGAGTGAGTGGGAAGTGATGGGTGCAACCCAGTGTATAATAATATAATATAAGTGGACGATAGACAGTAGGTGACAATGGGATCAGTTTGGATTCCAATAATATGAATATTTGTGTCATTACTTACAACCATCATTTAATAACCACATAATACATATATATATATATATATACATATATGTTTGATTATCCTATTAAAATTTTTTCGAATAATATCTATTAAGAATTAAAAAAAAAAAAAAAACGGGTTACAAATTCATATAAAATACTATTTATATTAATATAACACAAAAACAAAAAACACATCATATACTTGTACAAAGTATATACATATTCCAACAGACTACGATGAATTCGTCATATATTCTATCTGGACTTTTGATCGATGCTTTATGAAGAATTGATCGGTATTGTCTAGCATAATCAGCACCGTTATTGCTACAGTTATATTATATACATGTATAAAGAGAATATATTTATGTGTATAAAGTCATAGTCACGAAGAAAATGATGCATTAATTCATGCATACAACATAATAGAATAATACAGAGAGAAATTTATTTAATCTAAATAATTGTCGTCGGGATCCATGCTTTTGTATTTATACATAATTTATTAGTGTTTTTTTTTAGTACTATTTTATTATATTTAGTATTATTTTATTATATGATATGAGAATCTATTCAATTGTAATTTCTCGAATGTGAATAAACCCTCGAATCATATGTGATAGACAAAATTATGATTATCATATGATTTTGACGATAGATGCACATATATTTTCCATACGCCATTTTCTTCCAAATATATAAATATTTTGTACAGTACAACATTAAAAATCCACATTTTTTAAAAAATTATTATTATTATTTATTGAGCCCTAAAATGTGCTCTTATGTGCTTATATTCATATATATATATATATAGAGAGAGAGAGATACTTTTCAAGATAAAAATAGCTTTTGAATATTATATCTTGGATATAAAATGTGTATTGAATATTTTATATTTTTTTGAATAAAATAATACTCCTTCCGTCCTATATAATATGGATATATTGCTGTAGATTCGATAATTTAGATAAAATATAATTAATAAATAATTAAAAAATGTATTAGTAAAAATAATTATAGATTAATATTAATATAACTAAATAGTTTAATTAAAACTAAAAGAATTCTAAAATTTAAAATTTGATTAAAAGGTATAATTATACTTTTAAAAAAAATGACAAATTAAGCAGGATGGATGAAAATAAAAATTGTTTTATTTGTATAATTATATAATTACGTGGAATGAAGGTAGTATATTGAACAATTAGAAATTTATAGATATATATATATAACCACACCTTTAAATTGTTTTATTTGTATTTTCTAATTTATTCCTTTTTAAATATATAAATGAATTATTATATATAATTGTATATATTTACTATGTGTATTATTGATCCTTTCTAAATAAATATATTTCTATATAAAAGACATCAATTTAAAAAATTTATTTTCAAGATATATTATATATATATATTCAAACAACTTTGATGGCATCAACTTTTGCGACCAAATTAGCATGGGCCATGCTATGTAATTTAAATAGTACATGTGCTGCGTAACAAATTGTCACAATAATTATAATATCTTCGTCTCACAAAAATATCTCACGTAGACACGGAAATTTAAGTAAAATATAATTAATAAATAATTAATATTTATTATATAATAAAAATAATTATAGATTAAAATTAAAATAATTAAATAGTATAATTAAAATTAAGAAAATTATAAATTATAAATTTAAAATATATAATTATATTTTTTTTAAAAAAAATATGTAGAACCGACAAATAAAAAAAATGGACACTGGAGAAGTATAATTCTTGAATTTGTTAAGTAAATGAATCAATAAGATTATTTACAATAATAAAGTGCAATTCCATTTTTAAATTTTATTTTTGGTATTAAGAAAGTACTATAAGATAGAAAATGTTAAAAAGATTCCATTTATTGAGTTTGTTTGTTCAGTGTTGTGATTTGAATTTTATACAATAATATAAAAATAATATTTTAATTGAATATTTGACTTTTGTAATATATATATATATATATTTTGAGAATCTTAAAAAAATTCGATGAAACAAACTTAAATTAGTTTACGGTTACATAATAATTTCGACTTACAGTAGGAGCCGGGATTTTCACTATTCATCCCATTTTTTTCTCCAAAAATATCAAATCAAACACTTATTTTTCATTTTTTATATTATACTAAAAATCAATTTTACATTCAAAACATCACATCAACACCTATTTATATCACATCATACAACTATTCAAATTCAAAATTTTTACTATTCAAATCTCAATTCAAAATTCAAACCCCCGAACAAACACACGATATAATACTTAAAAAATAATATAATACATCTACATATTATAATATTTATTTTATAATACAATTTTTTATTAAAAAATCATCTTTTAAAAATAATACTCCCTCCGTCGCTACGATAATCCTATTTATCATTTTTGTCCGTTCCAAAATAATAGTCTAATTTCATAAATAATCATATCACTATAAAACTACCATTAATTTTTCATTATTATTACACAATTGCCACTACTTTTTATACTAATACAATCTACCTGTACTTTTTTTACCTATTATCAATATAATATCAATATTATTTAAATCACGTGTCAAACACAACTCAAATTATAGTTATGGAACGGAGGAAGTAGTATTAATTTTTAATATAATATAATTTTTTATTTATATTTTTACATATTATCGTTAATATTGTCTCACATTGACAAATAGTAGGAACATCCGCCGTAATAAGTATTTGATTAGCTATTTTGAATATTTTGTTTTTTAAATAGTAAAATCAAGTCAAAATATCAGAAATAAACAGAGTGCCCTTATTAGTTTGAGTATGATAATAATTGTTCAAGTTTGTTTAATAGTAATTAATGTTTTATAAATTAAAATAATATATATATATATATATATTTTAAAAAATTATACTAGAATAATAAAAACTCAAATCAGTCACAGCTTAAAAGAGATTGGCATGTGCGAATTACATGAAATGAAGTTAGCTGTCGTCCGATTGAGGGACACTAACGATAACAAGGACTTATTACATTGATAATAATAATAATAATACATGGGATGTGTCGGCAACCTCATAAGTCAGATTGATTACAAATTGTAGTGTTACACATATTTGTTAGTCCCATAATTTTTTTTTTTATCAATACAATTTCTAATATATATAATATATATTTTATTGATTTTAGTAAAAATGTAATATTCAATATAAGATACTACTTCATCCGTCTCATTATAAGACTATTATTCTTTATTTTTCTTCGTCCTAAAATAAGGGTATTATTTCCTAATTTAGTAATTGTACTCTTAGAAAAATAATTTGGATTGAATAAAAATACGAACAAATCAAATTCCGAAGGTGTACACACCCAAACAATTAATTGGGGCCGGCTCAGCGTAAGTGCAGTCCAATGATATTTGGGGCCCAACATACGGCCCCAAATAGCAGACGGACCTTTTGACCCTCTAGCCCATCGTTCAAGGAGATCCAACTCGACTTGAAAACAGTCCAACGGGTCAAAGAAGTTGTTAGAAAGTTGTTGGAGTTGATGGAAAAAAAAAAGTGGTACAAGATCTTATTCAAATAAATTCAAAAAAAATAACTATTTAAAGAAGATCCAAGAGAGAAAAAAAGGGACGTCATTCATCATGATTCTTTTCTTTTTTCATAATTTTTCTTTGCATTATTTTCTTTGTATTTTTTTTTAGATCTTTACAGTTTTCTTCTATTAATTCCAATTTCATTTTTAGCTTTTGTTCCTATTTTACCTTCTTCTTTCTTCGTCAATTTTTTTTTCGGTTATCGCGAGATAGCCCAGATCATTTCTTGAGGAGGCCGGGGAACCATACAATTAAATCAATTCCGACAGGTTTTTTCGATTAAGCCGTCGGTGGCGATTTTTTTTACGACAACAGATTGGCACGCCTGGTAGGACACCGACGTCTCACGACTTTTACATTCAACTTCGGAAGAAAATTGATGTCACCGACGACCGCAGAGATGTTTAAAAACAAAGGAATCATCGGCGATTCGTCATCGTGCCCGGCGCAACATGCTGCCCCA